AGGATGTATCTTTTAATCTAATCTTTTAATATAGCTTAAAATATCCGTTTAAGATAAAAGTTTCTGGGCATCAAACTGGACAGATAAAGCTTTTCCAGCTCTCCTTCTGCTGAAGTGGTCCGGTGGCAGTGAAAGCCAAAGTCATGTGCGATTCCTACGTCTGGTGAAACGCACCCATCACAGAGTTTCAAATGTCAAACAGTTTCCAGAGGATTCCTGTCACTTTGGGGCATTTAATGGAGCTGTGGAGATAATGGTGTGAACTTCCAGAAAACACTGATGGGGAAGCCCGCATCCACCACTCTTCACAAAGAAAAGCAGAAATTTCACATGTAGTCACTTTTTTTCTGCTGCCAAAGTGACATCAAACTGTAAGCGCTGAAATAGTTTCAGGCTGAGACGTTCTCGCTGCTTGGTTCTTATGTGATATTAAACTGAAAAGTTCATTTCCAGTAAATCCACGCTTCATCTGAAGTGTAGAATTTCCAAAGTGTGGCTGTGTATTCAGAAACAGAGAAAGATTAGAGTGCTTTAAGGAAATCTTTTAACTGGGAATTATTAAACCTCCCAAGAACGGTCATCTTTGTGCTGTTCCATGGAAAGATAGCTCTCTATTTGCCAGAAACTTGAAATCAGGTGATAATGGGTTGCAACTTAATAGCTCTGCTAATGGAGAGCTGAATGTGTGAAACAGGGTAAGCCCAGCAGTAGCCACTGCGCAATCCAAGGTTGCTCAAGCAAGGGCTGGGGAGGAAAAAGCTCAACTGTGCTGTTGTGTAGCCATCTGACACGTTTCCATCTGGTGGGTTTTCTTCTGACATGTTTTCTTTCACCATGAGCTTCCCCCTGAGAAAACAGACGATGGGATTGCTCTGTCTGCAAACAAACAAGTCGTACGGCTGCTCCTGACTCAGTTACCAGTGTTCGAAAGGCATTACAGGAGGAAACGGTACTTAGTACAAGGAGCTGCGACCTTGCTTTATAATTTTTTTCTTGGTTTTGTCAGCGACTCCCATCAGGGAAACTGGCTCAGAGAGTTGCCATGAAGTGCCCTGGACCTTCAGAGAGCTCGAGACTCGTCTTCTTCCTGGAAAATGCCTTAGCCAGAGAGGCCAGGATTTGGAAAGTGCCAGTTTGCCAGAATCTCACCCTGAAGGTATTTTCCCCTGTGTTCTTTGGAAGTGGAGATGTAGTGCTGCCCCTGCCATCTAATCCAGATGAAGGCAAAAGTCAGCCCGCATGGACTGAGCTTAGTGAAGGGGGAGGTCTGTATTTGTGTAGAAATGCTATTTTTATTACCAAATAAAGCAGAATAGTGAAACAGATACAGTGGTGAATACTATTGAACTAATTGGTGGTAAATGTCTGCTCTGTGTAGCTGCTTGGTCCTTTCAGTTCTCCCGCGTTCATGTTCAGTCATGTGCCGTGGGTCGTGTGTGGCACTGTAATGGCAGTCAGAGTCAAGATCTGAATGCACCTTCAAATGAGGAAAGAAAGGAAAGAGAAGGGGAAAAAAGAGAAAAAGAAAAAAAAACCTGACCATGTTTTGGCTTGTTCAAGTCATAAACCTGGCTTCTGTGGTCCCAACACTAAGCGAATTTAAGGGCTGCTAAAAAAAGAAATAATCTTGCAGGGTCAATCAAAACCTGCTCCTGACTCCAGCGTCTCCCTTGTTGTCAAGGCTGGCTGAATGAAACGTGCTGCAGCAGAGGCTTCAGGCTTCTCTGGAGGGGAAATAATGAGCACACTCAGCACCACGTTTGTAAGAGCTGGGCTTGGTGGTTCAGCTGTGCAAGGGGAGGGCTGGGTGCTGCCCCATTCAGAGCTCCAGTAAATTCCAGTACCAGGTCCTTGTAAGCACAGCCAGAGCCTGAGCAGCACAAACGAGTGCTTTAAACTGCTCTGAAATTTGCCCTTGCCCTCACTCTGTAGACAGAGCCAACAATTTTCTTGGTTTCAAGCCTCCAGACATCTGAAATGTTAATTAGAGCACTTGGAATGATTTGAGTCTTCCTTTGGAGATATGTTAACAAAATCATCAAAGCACTGACTGTATTTTCCTTCTTTTTCTTCCCCTCAGGGCACAGATATCTCTCTGTTGTGTTACAAGAAAGCAGTTCTCTGGATTGGAGAAATAAGCTCCCAGTTCCAGTTTTACCCTGAAACATTTGCCTTAGCTACCAGCATCCTTAACCGGTTACTGGCATCAGTAAAGGTAGAGACTCCATCAGCATTTTCCTGGCTACTGTTGGGGATGTAAGGAGTATGTAATGAGTTTGTGCACACAGTGGGTACTATGTCTGGCAGCAGATTTAGGGAGCAGTCAGGGTCTTTGCTGGGGAAGGCTTTTGAGAATACATACATATATATGTACATATACATATAATAATGCATATATATATATACACACATATACATATCCACAAACATATATATATATAGATGAACTCCAGTGTTTGATGAGGTTCCACTGATTTACAGTCCTCGGTAGAAGCGTTTGTGTGAATCAGAGTACAAATGCAGCAGTAAGTACAAAAAACTCATTATCATCTGGTTGTCCGTGCCAAACAGAAAACATTTGCATTATCACTTTAAATATTTTAGTTTTGAAACCACAATTTTTAACCAAACCATGGGGCCAAGGTTTTCTGCTGCTGAAGCAAGAGCAAAGTTATGAGTTGAACTGAGCCTTGCGACTCACAATTTCATTTAGATCAACACGGGCATTTCGCAAAAGCATATTAATTAATATCTTAGCTGAGAGGAAAAATAACATTGCTTTGTAAATACTGTGGGTTTGCATAGTCTAAAAATTGTAAGATACATGAATAGAAGTTGCACCAAGAGGATTTATTTTGTTTTGCTTTGGATTTCCTTGCTCTGTTTCCAGCTTCAAACGAATCTTTCTGTAGCTAAAGTAATTCAGAAGCAACTGCAATTGAAATGAAAGTTTGAAACTTGAGCATCTGCTGTAGAATGACAATTATTTCCCCCAGGACTGTTATCTTCTTTACTCAGTGTCGTCTTCTTCTCCCTTCAGGCCCAATTAAAATATCTTCGGTGCATAGCAATTTCCTGCCTTGTCCTTGCAGCAAAAACCAACGAAGAAGATGAGGTCTGTGAGTTTGGTGTGTTTAAAATTAACCACATCTCTTGCGTTCAAATTGTTTGTGTTTCCAGGTCATCCAACAACTTGGGCGTAATGAGGGTGTTAACTTTTTTACCCTAAATAGTTCTTCAGAGGTGACAGCGATGTTTTCAGTCCTGTTTCATCACTGCTTGGCAGAATTGTGACCTTTATGGATGAAGGGCTTGTCTTTGCATAAGTAATGGATGTGTTTCCCTCCTGCCCTCAAACCTCTCTCCTCTCTTCACAATTCATGGCTCACAGTAAAGCTTGGTCTAGGAGAGGACAGTCAAGATGCACATGCACAGCTGAGTGCTTCAATTCCGCTGTTACGGGTCCTGGCAGGGCAAAGTTGGTGACAGAGCAGAGGAAGCTGAAAAGAGATGAGTTTGCTTGGAGTTGAAACTCATTGCTGAACCTGGTGAGGAAATGACTCAGGTCTGCACCTCAAGGCGAGCATGTAGGATCAGCAAGTACCCGTGTAGGTGTGAGATGACACAGGATAAGCGCTCGTGGCAGAAGTGCACTGCTTGACTTCTTCAGCTGCTTACAAGCATGAGCCAAAAGCATTTCAGGTTGCATTGCTCCTCTTTCTCCCGTTCCGTTTTGAAAAAGAACGAGAAACCTAGAACGTGATGTCAGACATGCATGAACAACTGCTATAGTGAAATGCTCTTTGTAGCCTTTCGTAGGATAGATCATGCTGAGGTTATTCTTCGTTTCCCCTCAGCTAAAAAGGAGAAGCTGAGTCAGTGACCACAGGAAACCAGCCAGCCACAGAAGGCCATGTAAAACAGGCCCACAGGAAGCTGCCTCCTCTGTCAGGGGAGCAAAACTAATGAGACTGGTAGCAGGGATCGTGCATCACCGATGCAGGAGGCTGATAGTTAACTGGGAGGTGATCGGTGGTGCTCCTGCCATGGGCTGGGTTTGTAGCCACTGCCCTGTGATGAGCACAGGCCAGGCTGCATTCAGGGTGGGAGTTACCCAGGGAAGTGGTCTCCTGAACAACCATTCTGCTTAGCACTTTGGGATGTGTACAGACCTGCCAGATCCCTTTACAATACAGAGAAACACACACAGTGCCAGGTAGGACGTTGGCTTCTTTATTGTTTTGTTAATTTTTTAAATCTTTGTACAGGTAATACCATCAGTAAAGATGCTCGCAGTGCAGAGTGGCTGTAAACGCTCTCCAGCTGAGATCTTGCGAATGGAAAGAATTATACTAGACAAGCTTCATTGGGATCTTTACACAGCAACACCAATGGATTTCTTAAACATTGTAAGCACTAAGTTTTGCAAAGTTTTTCTCTTTAAAGAAACAGCTCCTTATCAAATAAGACTAGAAAACACAGATGCGCACACATACACACACCCACACATCCTTCCCAAGGTGCTTTGCAAACTACCTGTTCTCAGCTACCTGCAAGTCTTTTGAAGTATGTTACAGTGATTTTTTTTTTAAATTTATTTTTAAAATTTTCTACTATTGAAAACCTTTCGTTTTGCTCAAAAAAATTGCTCTCATTTTTAAAGGAGAACTAAAATGGACGTTAAAAAGATTCTCATAATGCACAACTATACGCCGTTTTTTTATTTTTTTAAATACACACTGCAAAAATATTTCTAACTATTTCCATTCTATTAATACTGTACATAGAAAGCTGTCAGAGTTTTGCTACATTTCACACACAAGGTATTTTTTTCTTAAACCATTTTCCCTTTTCACCCCACTAATTATTCACCTTTGTTTTAGGCAATGAGACTACCCCCAACCTGGCACTTAGTTCACATTGCGGTTACTAAACATTTGATAGAAACAATTTAAATTTTGTCTTCAAGAAACGATCATGTGCGAGTAAGGCAAAAATCATGTGATACAAACACATCCTGGATCCCTTTTTTAAGGTTATGTGCAAATATTAAGCCATCTTGGGCTGCTGATTGTGAGAACGGCCTTTCTCAGGTGCTTGTTTCCTCAGTGAATTCAGAGTGCAGTCATTGGTACTGGTTTTACTCTATTCGTATCTGCTGGCCTGAATTGACTCTCCTGGATAGCAATCTGGATAACGTAGAAACTTCAGAAATTGTTAGGAAACACAGACCTTGTACATTCATTATAAGCTCAAAAAAACCCCAGTTCAATGGTTGTACAAACACAAAACACAAAAAAAACCGGGAAGGGAGAAACCCTTTAGGTTTCTTGATATGAGATGAAATTAGTCTGTACTCCAGGTCGATAACAGATGAAAACATACAAAGTTCACTGACCTCTGCTTTTTGTTTTGAATATATATATTTATACTTTATCTTCTCTCCAGTTCCATGCCATGGTGATGTCCAACTGGCCCCATCTACTACCTGGGCTGCCTCAGAGGAATCCTTCCCGCCACGTTGCATTCTTGACCAAACAGCTACAGCACTGTATGGCGTGCCACCAACTAGTGCAGTTTAAGGGCTCCACATTGGCTTTGGTGATCATCACCTTGGAGCTGGAGAGGCTGACTCCTGATTGGTTTCCTGTCATTACTGATCTGCTAAAAAAAGCACAGGTAGGAATCAAAATGGCCTTTGGTCACAAAAACCGGAGGCCAGGACACCAACAAATTAATAAAGCGCATGTGTATTTACAACCGACATTGCACTTTAGCTGCGTTCTGAGAAGCACGTGGCCTTGTTCTGCCTTTGCTGCAGACCTTGCTTGTGCTATGAGAGGGAAAAAATGTGCAGTGACGGGCAGGGACAGGGGAGAGGGGGTTTTCCAAATTTATTGGCCACACATAGCCCCATGTCTCCTGAGCGAGGAGAGATTCTCCCACAACGGGAGCCTCTGAGAGCACCTAAAAACCTGTTCCCAGCCTCCCACTGAACACTGCAAAAACATCCAAGTACAATTATATTGCTTTTATAACAGAATCACTTTGGCTTCTAATGATACACCAAGCTCTGTTTTGTGTTTTATCCAAAGCTTTTCCCCAGTTTCATGAGACACATGCCTCTTAAGAGAGCATACCTAGAAGGCTAAAGACCCAGGCTGTCAGCTTGCCATCAACCCATCTTACAGTCTTGAACTTGTCTGAAACAACATAGCCTCCTGTTGTCCCTCCTGACCGTTGTCACCTCCTAAAAAGAGGGAGTGCTTACCTACCTTCTCTGTGGAGTTCAGGGGCTCCTGGTGAGGGGTTTTACATCAGGGCCAGCATGGGTATTGCTGATATGTATCTACTGGGGCAGCCAGTACAGCCTGTCCCTGCCTCCCTCTAATTACAGCATTACAGGAGCAGTGGCCAGAAGAGAGAGTTGTTTACTGTGAACTTACAAAAATACCTGCATCTTTCCTTACAGGTGAACAGCACCGAATTCATCCACTGCAAAGAGCTCACGGATCATGAGCTAACGTGCTCGCAGCCATCCAATGCTGTTTATATTTTCTGTCCCATCAGTGGAGCCATCCAGGGCCACCCCGAGGCAAGGCCACCCCACCACGACCCTTTTGGGCTGAAGAACCCCCACCCAGTGAGGTTGAGGGTTGCTGTAAGCCAGCCACTTTCAGCACCTTTCATGCCTCCTACAGCCCAAACTCCCGATGATGCCATGGAGACAGATGAATACTACGATGGATTCGGGCACCTGTACAGTGAGGATGGGGAAGGGAGCAGAGGGAGAGGGGGCATGGGTGGCTCATGTCCTCAGCTGAGGCCTGGAGCAGGCAGCTCCCCGTGTCCTCCCTTGCAGCCGCCTGGAAGGGACGAGTGGAGCTTCACTGCTTGGAAGCAGCAACTGCAGAACCAGTAGGTGCCAGCAAAAAGAACAGCTGACACAACAGATCAAACGTGCTGCTGTGGTTAACAATGGTATTATCTTTCTATTTCTTGTGTCCTTTCTCAGCAGAGTGTGCTTCCCCTCAGTTTTACACATCATGTAACTACAGAAAGCTGGGGAGAGGAGGGACTTGGTCGCAGTCCTACAACTCAGGGATCAAGTTGGCAGAAGGCTTCAAACTGCACTAGAGAGAACCAAACGCCTTGGAGTTTCTTTTTAAAGCAGCTGTGATGAAGTGTGCCAGATGCAGCCTTTCATCCTGCTCACTCCTGGTTCTCCTGTCCCATGGGACAGTGAACAGGAGCCGCTTTCTAGGAAGGGGGAGCTCCCACTGCTGGCTCTGTAAGAAGAGTCCTCATGTGGAGCCAAGGCTTTGATATAATTGGGGGAAGATCGAGAACCAAAACTTCCAGTTTTTCTTAAGGCCTTACCCTGGCATCCAGGGGTCTGAGGTCTGTGCTCCTGCCTGGTTAAACCATTAAAGACCCAATCCTGGTTCCTACAAGCTGTGGGAAATAGATTCATGTCCACAGTCAGTGTTGCCTTGGGCCCTCACCAACCAGCACCTGCTGTTCAGGCGTTTTTAACATTTATTCTGTCTTACCATAATGGACAGTAAAAAATGCCTTTAATTAACCCCCTCCCCCCATTAGTTTTGATTAACTGCTAATCTCCATAGCAAAGCATTTCTGCAAACTACAAAGGTCAGTTTCTTTTAAAATAAGAGTTTTATTGGGTTTTTATTGTTTCTGTTCTTGTTTTGAACAGTAGGGCCAGCACTTCCAGCCTGATGTTATTTATTCATTCTGCCTACGTACCACAGGGAAGGTTTTCATCTCATGGTAGGGCTTGTCCCTCTCCACAGTCCAGCACCTTCCTTTGCTATCACTGTGACTTGACTGCCTGATTTCCTGAAGAAAACAATTTGTCTTCTGTAGTTTTCATTAAAGAAGATCTAACTTTGGTCTGTGTGTTCTCCGTGTGCTACTTGAGTCCAGCCAGAAGCTGATGCCTTGCAGGAAGGTGGGGTGTGTGTCTGGTTCTGCTTTTCCTCCCATCCCTTCGCCCTATCTCTAGCACCTTCACTGGCTGTGATAACCAGTGGAAATGCTGGCAGAAAAACACTGCACGGAGTAATTAACACGCTGTAACTATACCAACCACCATACCTCATGTTTCTTCCCCTAGCTTTGAGCCTATGCACGTGGTTTCTTGCCCATCAGCTGGATGACACTAAAAACCTGCTCTTGAAAACCTCTGCAGATCGATACGATCAACATTCAAAAGCATACATTTGCAGGGGGGTAATTCTTAAAGATGAAGCCAGTGCTGAAAGGCCCACCCTGGTCCTGTGTTCCCAGTTCAGGGTACAATCCCATACTGGGATGGGAACAGTAAATCTGGAGCCTGCCTCTCCCCCAGGATCTGCCACTGCTCCTCTCTGGCAGCGCTGGTTCTTCCTTCACGCAGGGGGGTAATTCTTAAAGATGAAGCCAGTGCTGAAAGACCCACCCTGGTCTTGTGTTCCCAGTCAGGGTACAATCCCATACTGGGATGGGAACAGTAAATCTGGAGCCTGCCTCTCCCCCAGGATCTGCCACTGCTCCTCTCTGGCAGCGCTGGTTCTTCCTGCACCCCTGCTCCAGCCCTGGAGTTACAGTAACGGAGCAAACACTTGAGCCTTGGCCTCAGCAGGTTAGAAGTACCACTTACCTTTGTGTTCATGCTGTCATTAGAACAGAGCTTGTACCCTAAAGAACCAGTTGCAAATTTCACGAGGAAGCTGCTGTTGCAACAGGATCCTTCTTGTTATGCAAAGAGCATTTCTGATCGTGAGAGCTCCGTAAATTCCCTCCTCACTGGCAGAACGGAGTCCGAGGCTGTGAGTATCTCTCCACTCACTGCCTGGATGAGTAATGAGTCCCAAGACCAACACATCACCCATCCAGGTGACAGCAGCAATGGGAACTATCCTTTTTCCCAGGTGAGTTTTGGATATGATGACCATCTCATTTCTGTGCCTGCCCTTTTGGACTGTGCACAGCCTGCATGGTACAGCCACACGTTTATTGGACCTGCAGCTAAACTCACCACTGTGGATCCCATAACCATTTCACTGTGCACCAGTTACCAGGGAGAACGGGCCAGGTTCAGCTGGCACAGTGAGTGCTGGCACAGATCGGACGTGTTTAGGGCTGGTTTTGTGAGGATTTGCTGTATTTGCTGAATATTCTATCCCTGTACAACTCCAGAGAACATTTACAGAGTATTTTCCAAGTGCAGTGCCTCACCTTGACCTGCTGCCTCTCCCCTCTCTCTGGGTGTGAGCACAGCACAGCTCCCATCCTGCAGGTTTGGGAGCAGTGGCAGGACCTCCTCCCTTGCAGGGGTCTCAGCCCCAGTGAAGCAAACCTCCCAACCCAGACTCCTTCTGCTGTTGCCTTTCCTTAGGCCAGATTTCCCAATCCCTGAACCATCACCTTGCAAACACAGCTGCCATCACATCTGAAATCCCCTACGGTCAAAGCATCCACAGAAATGTTTTGTCCTTAAGGTACTTCCCTGGCAGACCCCGCTGCTGCGCACGGATGCTGAGATTCTGAATCAGCCAAAATGTAAACCAATGTTAAATCACCTACAGAAACAGCGAAGTGATTCACAGTGACCCCCAGCTGCCACCACACCCCCATTTGGAGACCAGCACCCAAAGGAAAGGTGTCACAGCCCCAGCGAGTCACCAGGAGCCGTTACACACACGGGTGAAGCTGCCTCACTGCAGATCAGCATTCGCCTGTGTTTCAAATAATAAACCTGACTCGGCATCGCTACGTACGGTGGGTGTGCAATGACCTAGAAGAAGAGTTCATTTACACAGCTGCTGAAATAAAGAAACCTCTGTGGTCAGAGATGTGAGAAAACAGCAGAGGAAGAGGAACACCACAGTTGTTTTACCGAATTACGGGTTTCTGACAGAATTTGCTGAAACAGAAGCGATGAACCACCAGGATCACAGCAAGATCTTCCAGAGCACCCAGCAGTCTCCCTTGAGACATCACCCACACCAAGTGCCTTCAGACTCATAACACCTTCACATCTCATTTGGTTGCCTCTGTGTTTTGTTTTTTCCTTTTTGCTAATTGGCTTCAGCGTTTTAAATTCAATTTGAACAGTACTTAGAGTTCAAGTCTTTTAAGAGTAGAAAAGTGCACTTGGATCAAGTGATGAGTTAACTCCTGGCAGGTCTCGGCAGCTCCCCCTTGTTCTTCCTCAGCAAGGATTGCAACCTCAACCCCACTGGTGACCACACTGTGGTTATGGTCAAATCATCTGAGCCATTTGGAAAAATGCTGTTATTCCCAATTCATCTATCCAGCTGGGAATCTAATTCCCACAATAGCTCCAAACGGGATTGAAGCTTTGCCAAGGGAAATGGATTAGTTTGCTCCTAAAGAGAACCTGACTAAGATTAAAAGACGTCAAAACAGCAGCCAGGGGGGTTGCATTGCTCAGCTCAGATGGTCACCACTGCTCCTGGTGCAGGGACAGAGCCATCAGCTGGGCACTTCCAGCTCTGACTCGATGGCCCCCGAGAGCACCCAGTTGGGCCCTGATTGCTGCTCACTTGGTCCCACTTTGACCCCAGTGCCTCACCCCTGCAGCAGCGGGGACAGGCAGGGATGAGCCATGTGGGATGAACACGCTTGTCACAGGGTTTCATCCCTCCTGGAGTCTCCAGAACTTCCCCATGTGCCCAGTTTGGATATTTTCAAGCCACGTACCTGCTACTCACTGCGATTTATTTCCAATTTCTAATTCACACCAAGGGCATCCAGAGGTTTCAGCGACTGCCACATACAATACACCCCAGGGACAGGAGCTCAGTGCCCACAGCAGTCGGTGCCTCTACACCATCTTCTCCATCTCAACAAACTTTCGGGTGGTGATGGAGACCCTGGCTGCTCGGTGGGAGCCTCACTGGGCTGCTGTCACCCACCCCACTGTTCACAGCCAGACCTTGTCCCACCGAGGAACCCAGGACTGGTTTTCTGCCTGTCCTATGCCCCCAGCCCCATGGCACAGGGGCAAGCAGCAGCGTGGGGAATAGGATGTATGGGAGACACAGGGGACATCACACTTATAACACAGATACACAGGGTGATGGGGTTAACAGAAAGCAACTGGAATAACAGTGAGGGTTGTGAACATGGACACAGCATGGATCCAGCAACTGCAACTAGCACACAAAAGGTGTTTTTAACAGGTGTTTGTTAAACAAGTCAGTTTTGTTTTTATTAAACCCAACTTTGGTACAAGCAGGTCATTCCTGAGGTTCATTTACAAGGTTGTTTTAAAACAACAAAGATCATCTGGAGCCTCTCCCTGTTCCTGGGTGAAGTTAGGCTGGGTACAGACATCACACTTTCCTCCCCACCCCCTTTTTCTCTCTCTTTTTTTTTTTTAAACCAAGTATTTGTGTGAGGGGATATCAGCCTGTTCCAAACACAGAACTCACCACCAGGAACGCCGAGTCTCCAGCTTTAAACCGTTTCCCCTCCATTAACACACAACATTGAGATGCCCTTTAAAACAGTTCCACTCTCACCCACCACATCCCAGTAGGAAATGCTGGAGCGTGGTGGGTTTACCCATCCCTAAAGCAGTGAGCGGGGAGGTGGGCAGGGAAGGGGTTAAGCTGTGAGGCTCACACGTGACGCTCTAGGAAAATGAAACAAATTGGGGAGTTTTGGTTATAAAACCTGTAAGTCTACAGAAAAAAAGCTACGTGGAAGAGTTATTGCTAAGAAATTTGAGGATGCAGCTGGAAGGTGAGAGCTGTTAGGGGGTTTTAAAGTTACACCCCAAAACCAGACCAAGGAGGGGACACACAGAAACCCTGCTACAGCAGCGGCTCAAGCAGCAACCCGAAATCACACCTCGCCCTAAACCCCAGCTTTGTCCCTCATCTCGCTGAA